GATTTCCTGAGGCCATCCTGTCCTGGATTTCGCAACGCTCTGCCTGGACTCAGAGATTGGATTAGAGACGAACTCCCATGTTTGCTCCAAACCATCAGGCGACCAAATCAATGTGCCACTTCCAAGTTGTCTTGGGAATGAGTTGCGCGGGGGGGAGGAAACACAAACAGATGCGGGTGGGTGTGAATCACCATCAAATCACCAGCATTCACTTCACAATGCAAGTCACCAGACATCAAATTTCGGCATCGCAAAGCACCGCACATCGCATCAACAAATTACATCGTCACGGCATTTCACAACAAAAATTACTTCTATCCTGCCAGACAATGCCCGGCAACACATGATCAGGAGTTTTCTCCTTTCCCCGCTGATGATCTAGATCTGTGGAGCTCTGCAGAGTTTTCGGCACTACGCAAGCAGTTGAAGCCATGCTTCAAAGCTGGTGCCGTGGGCCTTCAGGAAGGTGCTCCCTCAAAAAAACGAGTTGCGCTCTTGCAAACCTCAGGGTGGATGCCAGCCATTCACTCTTAGACTCCTTGACAACATCGCAAATACGCCTCAAATCCTTCACCTCAATTTCTGGTGTCTCAACGTGTTCAACCTGCACCGTGTTCCAAGGAATCGATGGGGCTAAAGGAACACCCTCAAGGAGCAAGAGTAGTAGGTAGAATCGGTGTGCTCCAGGCCGTTTGATTCACTTCCACATACATGTTTATACATGTTTATATCCCAAAGACATGTGATTTGACTTGATGTGACCTCTTCAAGGATCCCTCCAAGACTCCAAGTTGGGAGTTCCTTTTATTCAAATCCAAGCGCTGTGATGGACGTTTGTCCGTCCCCGAGGCTTTTGCCCCGCCAAACCTGGGCGCGGCTGCAGGGTGAGTCCAGGGCCAACCGTCACTGGCGGACATGTCGATGTGGCTTCAGTTGCCAGTTGCGCACGAGGTGCTGCTCGGGTTGCATCAATACGAAAAAAACATGTTTGCAATGTGAAAACAGGTGAAATCTGCAACATGCTTAGGAGGAGAGAAGGTCATTCAGGCCGAAAGGATTCGCCCGCGTGGATGAAAACAAACCACGTTTTCAGCATGACTTGGGCCACTCAAAAATACTTTGGGGGTCAGAGTCCAGCAGGAGGACGCCGTTGCCACAACTTTTGAGGAAGAGATGACCCAACTCATCTAATCCAATGCCCTAACCCATCTAATCCGATCTGTTTCTTTTCATACATCGTTCTCCTGCCGCTGTCGCCGCCCTTATGGTCGTTGTAGACCCGATGGGCGAGCCGAGCGAAAAAGTCGGATGGGATTTGGTGGTGGCCTTGGACATCGGGAAGACACCTAGTAGCAAGGTGCCTTACTTGTTACTAGTAGCTTCTTGTTCCTAGATTGGAAGACTGGTGGATCTTTTGCTTGAGCTTATGATGCATCATTGGTTTCACCCGCGCGGCATAATATCCTGAGAATACATCGGCTTCTAGACTATTCCAGACAAAGGTATTGACACCCACTTTGGACATGGAAAAGGTCTTGTTGTGTGAGCGTATGTGAACCCTGGACTCCGTGGACCGTCCTCTCCCGCGAATTGGTCTGAATCATTCAGACCTTTCTGCGGCCCTTCACTGTTCTGGCATATTCTGATTCTAGCACTGTTCTCCAGTACGGTTGGCGTTTTTCCCAAATGTTTCGAGCTGTTTTTCGTTTCAATCAAGCCGCCTTAGCCGTTTGCATCTCGCAGGTGGCTATGCTGGGCCCGAAGCGGGCCGAAGGTTTAGCTTTGGCCCCCAAGTTTCAGGACTGGCAGCACGGGCAAGTTTGAGATCTTTAGAGATCTTTAGAGTCTTGGGCTAGTTTGGGGGGGTTGCAGCTGGAAAGATGCACTTGTTTCCCAGCTTTTGATGCGGGATTTCAAGTTCACTCCGGACATGGTGGGTCGTTCAAGAGACGCGAGGTGACGACTTGCTTACAATGGGCCTGCCGATTTGGAATGGACTTCAACCAGGGGGTGGCGTTTCCAAGTCGTTCGGAGGCTATAAATGCAGTTTCTGTTGGGGGCTTTGAGCTTCTGACCTTCGTGAAGAGAGGCCCGTTGTGGGACTCCGGATCCACCCCAGAGGGCCAATTGAGAGGTGGATTTTTTTTCGGGGCCCCTGGCGTCTCCATCGATTCTTCTAGGATTTTCTCATTTTTTGTGTCTTCTGAAAATCTTCTCTCTTCTTGGAAGTCAGACTTTTGTGACTCACACTGACAGTCTGTGGTCGGTCCGTTGTGACCCTTGCGACGCCAACGCCTTGGAAGGGCGTCCCGTCCAGGACCGACTGGTCGACGCCTTGCGACGCTCTGAGTTGGTACCTCTCATGGTCCGAGACCCCCGATGGAGGGACTGAGGTGTTGGGGACGTTTCCATCGATCGGAAGGGTGAACACGGGTGAACACTGGATTGAACACGGAAATGCCAATGTGAAGTCAGAGCCTTGTCCCGAACGTGAAACTGCGTAATTAGCTCAAAAAGATGCTCAAATGCACATCCGATGCTCTCTCTGGGAAGAGATGTCTTGAACATGGGCCGCATGTGCCTCCCCGCACACACACCCCGTTGGCTTCAAGCTGGCTTCGAGCATTGAAAGACCAGGTGAACTGATTGTGCCTCACTCTGCCTCAAGTGAATATCAGGCGGCGAAAGGAGAATCATGCCCTACTCCACAGATTGAGTGATTGAGCAGCGAATTCACTGATGCGGCATATTGCCAGAGATCTCTAGATTGAGCAAGTCCAATGATCATGTCTCTATCTGCCTAGCACATCCTAGCATATCCTAGCATCAGCAATGCCATGCTAGCGCCAACAGCAAATCGCCAGTGGTGTTGTGATAGGAAACGCATGCTACAACACGTGGAAGGACAGCTTTTCTCTCCAGCAATGCAGCACGATCTCCACACAGGGAGCGAGTTGCTTTCTGAAGGCAAGTCCAGTTGAGGAGCCAGGGCCAGTCTGAGCAAGACTGTAGACGCACAAGTACTGGCTCATTGTTAACAGGTGAGCAAGTATGACATAGTAGGACAGGTGAGTTGATCCACAAAACTCATCTTTTGCTTTCTTTCTTCAGCTCTCCAACGTCAAAGAGCTGTCGGTGAGTCGGTCAGGCAGCACCGGTGAGTCGGAGCAGCTGGACAGGTGGGGTAAACTCGACTCGTCTCGTCGAGATCTCGTGCTTAAGCACACGGAGCCACACGAAGCAAGGGGAGCCGGCCACTGGGCAACTCATGTTCCTCTTCCCGGTCAAAGTGAGGTAATTGCACCATGTGGTGACAGATGGAAGTCCATTGCACCATGTGAAGATCATACAAAAGGCATTTTTGGCAGGCACGGGAGTCTGGAGAAGGTGTTGTTGTGCAAACACTCATGATGTCGTGTCGGGAGCCTGATGTGTTGCAATTCATCGCAGTTCTCAGCCTTGCCATAGAAGCTGTTTGTCAGGCCAACATCAGATTTTGGACATCAAGTTCAGATTGCCAGAATCATCCCACAATCCTTTCCAAGCCCTTTCGTGCCAGGCCCTGTGTCTCAACCGTCTCAACCAGGCACGACAGATGCTCCATGCTAGCTGTGTGGGAATCGCTCCATGCACGAAGAGCCAACAAAAACATGAAAAAAGCATCACAGGAAAGCCGTCGTGCGATGGTTCAATTGTGAGAGCTTCAGGCAATATGGTGGCTACTTCTCTTGGGTGGGTGCTAGCTACCGCCTCGAAGTGCATCATGGTGTCAAGCCTTTGCAGTGGCTGTTTCTTGCCAAAAGAGAGTGACCGGAGTGAAAACCCTGAGCGGCGCCTCAGCCAAAGAAGAGCATTACCAACACCTATCCTGGATTGATCACTGGTCCAATGAACAGGATCAAGATGATTTGGTGTACATGTGTCATGGAACCTCCCTTAAAGTGGTCGGCGACCTTTGACAATTGCTACTTCAGATCTGCTCAGCAAATTTGCCCTGAATCAGCCGATCAAAACAACAGCTTCAACTTCAGAAGTTCTGGGGAATTCATGCATTTCATTCTTGAGATTCCAAGGCCTTTTTTCAGCACAAGAATTCCAAGCCACACCTTCCATGAATTCAATGCCACTCTCTGTTGAAGCAACGTCCCCCCCGTCGCCCTGGTGAAGCACGTCCCTCTGCGACACCGACCGAGGAACAGGCTCACGCAGAGGTTCCGCGGACTCGTTTTGGATTCGGTTCGGGACGTTTGCGGGGTCGTTTTCGGGTGGAAGAGGTCCGAGAAAGAACCGGATATATACTGTGTATATATATATATATATATTATATACATACACATATACAGACACAGTATCTATAAGTAATCAGATCATATATAGTAATAGATGCATGATGGATCATATAGGCGAGTCTGGCGAAGCTTACTGTGCCACTCAGCTGATTGAGTTAGAGGAAAGAACCACATGGAGCCAAGGTCGGTGCAAGGTGGCTCAACTGAAGGGGTCCACACCACCTGGTGTCAGTCCTGGTGTACAGCCCTGGTAGGCTTTGTTTAGACATGTTTGTTGCGTTTGTGGTCACTGGTGCATCATGAAGTCTTGAGCAAATTTGCTTTTGAGTTGATGTCCTTCGCACGCCTTGAGCCTTGGAACTCCTTGAGCTGCTCCTTGCGCCAAGAAGATCACCAGTTCAATCGGGTCCTTTTCTTCTTCGCTGTGACGCGCCGTCGGTTCATGACGGTTGGCTCAAAGGTGTTTCACTGGTTGGACGAGTGCAGAGTCGGCAGGTCGGTGCAGAGGCTCAGCAGTATGTAGACATGCTTTGTGACCGGCCAATGCAGCCAAAATCACTTGCTTTATTCAGAAAGCCACAGATGTAGTAAGCAAGATGCCGGAACCAAACAGATAGACATTTCTCCAATCCTCCTTGAAACGCCCGTGATATTGCCGTAACTACTTTAGATCTACTTTAGGGACCTCTATAAAGTTCATTTTCGATTTCCTGTGGAACCCCTGCAGCCAAGCAATGGAGGTCTCAGAATGCCATGCGCAGGCAACAGCTGAAAACTGAGCTGGTAGAAGAGGCGGGATCTCTTCCTTGAGTGGCTAAGAGTCCCTGATATCAGGAGCCTAAAGGAGGGGTCTATAGGATTGGTTGAAATCTAAGGTCTCGCCCATCTATGTTGTCAGATTGTTGGACTATATATATACTCAGATTTGGGGTCATTCCAAAGATGCTTCGAAAACTCGAACACAAGGGTTCCCATTTTTTCATTTTGGAGAGACAAACCACGCCTGAGAAGGAAGGAACTGAGGAAGAGAAGGTGGAGCTAGCTTTTGGCCACTTTTCTTTGGCGCATCCCTTCCCCTCAACCTACAGCATGTACAGCCTACTTGAAGCCAGGCCCTTTATTGTATCAGTTTGTTATGTAGGTATATGGTGAGTCTTGCCGCAGTGCGGCTCCCTCTCCTTTGCTTCCAAACGTGTGCCCTGGGTAGCTGGCTCTGAAAACATTTGACGGTCATCCAGGTGTTGTTAATTCTCATTTAGGTTTGAATGCTCTCTTCACAGTTTGTTGCCGCACACCACCAAAAACTGACCCGAATCTTTTTTTGCCTTTTCAACCTTCCCAGAGATGCAACAATTGGACGTGTGAGAAGTGTTCTTTTTTCTGAAAGATGATTGAAAAGATGCACTATGAGCCGGTTCGATCATGCGCGCGAGTCCAATTTCACCCAGTTCTCAGGTACTCGGAAAAGACACCTTTGTACGCTGCATATCAAAGGAACGAACTTGACAGGCAGCCACAGGCAGCCACAGGGTCCACCAAGGGTGTTCGTCTCTGGACACCTACACCCCACCGGCCCCATCACCAGATGACACATGCCATATCCGATGACCAGGGTGGACACAGTGGTGTATCCCAAGGCCATGCCCATGCCCCGCCGAGGCGCGACAGAATGGCTTCTTAAGCCTGCCAGAGAAGCCGCTTCAAGCGGATGAGGTGCGGAACCTACTGCAGATCTGAATGCAGGTGGTGATGGTTCTATGATTGAAGGTTGTTGAAGCGTACTGACAGCATGGATTCTAACAGGGTCTGTTTAGTTGAGGTTTGGACTGATGTGCCAATGGTCGATGCACCGGGTGTGGTGGCGAGGCCTTATCCAAACATTATTTGGAGCTTCAGAGCCGGCCTTTGAGCTGGCAACGGCCGCAGGAAGGGTTCACCGGGAGGTGGACATGCGACTCTTTCGTTCGGTGGAGCCGGGCACGTCGTGGCACGGTCCCATGATGTCCCCATGGTATCCCAGGGTCCTATTGGTTTTTCGGATTCTCTAAGAACCTGGCCACTGACACTGGTTCACTTGTGGGTTCGTTGGCATCAGCAAGGCTCAACAGCATGGAACCTTCATTCCGTGATTGAATTGGTGTAGGACATATCACGTCTGAATTGTTGGCTGATGGATGTTGGATGGTTTTGTTTCCAAATCAGCCTGACATTCACCCATCAGTGTCGGGTCTGATTGAAGCTGAAGGACCATGATGGGGTTTCCTTTATACTCTATGTACATGTTTGTATTGCGGTTCATCACCGCAGGATGTGCCTCCAGATGCCCCTCTGCCCCAGCATTTGGTACAGCCTCGTGCCCTGGACTTGATTGAGTTTGCATAAGAAAACAGGTTGCACGTAGATGATACGTACAGTAAATTAGTGGGTAGTCTCCAGGTTGGAGGCCATCGCTTCTAGGTGGAGGCCATCGCTTCTATAGTAGTAGCAAGGTAGTTAAGTATATACATATATAAATAGCAGATAAGTAGGTAGTCTCCACAGTGGCATGGAAAAGTTGCAAAAAGCCGTAGCCGTTCGCTTTCACCTTCAGCTGCGCTGGTCACAAAAAGCTTTGTTTGAATATCCCGGGAACTTCAGGAAAGATAGTTGAAACTGGCAAGGCACTCTGGCATGTGCGGCCCAAACGTTTTTTTTTTTTCTTTCGTCATTGTGCTTGCCAGATCTTTTTCTAGGTTCACTGTTTTGGCAGCGGAGACTTAGGACTTAGGGCTTGATGAAGGACGGAAGCACAGGCATAACATTCAACGACAAAGCGTTTAAGGTTAGGGATGAAGCGGTGATTTCTTGAGTAAGCATACAAGGGTGACCACCTACAAAATCATGATGCTTGTTCCAAGTGATTCTACTGCTGCTGGCACCACTTGGGACTGGGGCAATCATGGTATTCTGTGGTGTGGCTCCAGTTTTCTTTCAGCAAGCAATTCTACCTCCTGTGTGCTAAATGACAAGATATTCCCGGCTGCGACTCACATTTTTTGCCGCTGAGGTGTTCTCCCACGGCCATGGCCTCCAGAGAATCAGTGCCCAGCACGTTTAAGAGAGCTGCGCCCTCAGCTGCTCCCCGGAGCAAAGTTGGGTTTGTAAACCTCCAACGACTTCGCAAGTACAGAGGTCCCCAAATTGCAAACATGCGAATACTAATGCACTTTAGAGGGATCTGCTTGAATTTACTTGCATTTCACCCTCCCATGGATTCGGTGCAGATTCTCCTCTAAATGTGTGAGAATTCCAAGATCCCTGGGCCTGATTGAGATGGTCTCACCAACGAAACGAGAGTGCCAACTCGTTGGTGACCCTTACCACTGGTGGGACTGAGTCGTGCTTTCCCCATGCTTAAACAGAGCCATGCTAGGTCTTCCTACAGGGAATCGAAGACCCAAAGCTAAGGTCGGAACATCTGCTAATTTGCTATGTACTGATTGTACTGATCAGGATTGGTAATTGGGAGGAGTCCTACAACTTGCTTCAAAGAAAATGCCCCTGAAAACTGCAGGGTTGGAGGCATGGTCGTTGTAACATGTAACCAGGCTCTCCTGCCAAGCGAGGCGGGAGAACCGTGCTTCGAAAGGTTGCATGGGACGCGGTTAGCTTCTTGTTCCTAGTAGTATGGCCAGGAGCCCCTGGTAGCGTCCTTGCTCCTAGTAGCGATGCCAGGAGCCCCTAATAGCTTCTTGATCCTAGTCGGTTTCTTCTTGGGATCACACCCCACAGATCAGATGGTTCCGCCCCAGGTCGCTCCAGACCTTCAGCCTCCAGAGACGGTTCCGCCCCAGGCGGGTGACCCGTTGGAACAGTCCAGGACATCGAAAAAGCCTTCGTTTTGTTTTTTTTCCGGGAAGAAGAGTTAGACTTCCACGGCAAGGCCAGAGAACGAGGCGGCATGCATGAGGGTTGTGGGAATGCCCAAGTTCGGTCTTCATGGGGTCTAGCCGCTTTAACGGCTCTAGGCTCCATGACTTTGTGAACTGCTGAGCATATCACTTTGAAAAGTCGTAGAGGGCCCTCTATGGTCGCGCTGTTGAGAAATCAGGGCCTTGGCAGCGAAGCACTACCCGGCACAAGCATGAGGACAAGTGAGGATTTGATCCAGTTGATCTTGGATGATGATGATGATGAGGATGGTAGCTTGTACGGCAAGAAGGGTTCAAGCGATTTTTGGGCTGAATACGTTTGTTTCATATATAATGATAGTTTCTTGCCTCTTCTGAGGCAGAAGAAGGGACGTCCTTCCATTCATGTTCAAACCGGTTCAGGAACCGTTTATGCCAAGTTTCGCGGTTCCTTGGTCCGTTGTCGTGTGCCGAGGTGACCTCTTCGATGAAGAGAGCTCAGAGGAGAGAGCAGCTGCATAATTGTGATGAAGACAAGTGCCCAAGACAAGTGTAAGTTTTGCTAGACAATAGATCACAGTCATAACCAATCACATCCTGGCCGGGACTTGGATTGCAGAAAGCGCATTAGTTGGTCTACTTCATGTTCCGGATGCACAAGTCATGCCACCTTTTTGGGAGGTCTGCACCATCAACAAATGAGTCACCAGTGCAACGGGCCATTCACTCCGGAGGAGTCAATTCCCCTCAATCCTACAGACTGCACCTCACGTCTTTGTCGTCCGGATCCTCCCAGCCCTCCTGCCCTTTCTGCCACCGATGTTCGAGCAGCTCGGTCACTGACGCGCTTGGCGTCAGGAGGCAAGTGAAGTGGTCACACCGCGTGAGACCTCCAAGGTGTGCCAGCCCTGGGCACTCAGGGTGGGAGAGAGGACCTTAGCTAAGCCCTTGGCGCCTTGGCTACCTGGTTAATTGCTTAATTCATTGTTTGATTGATTCTTATTTGTGCCTTTCCACCGCACTGCCGGAAAAAGGATGAAGCCAAAGGAGAATAGATGATGCGGCGGTTGAAACGATTTAGCACACACAATGCTACGTAGGCTTTACCGTATGTAGCTTTGAATGTTCAGCTTTTGAGTGACGAACTATATAGCTGATCTTGTGGAATTACCAGCGATCCGCATGTTTCTCAGCATCTCAGTTGTACTTGACTTTCGTTTGATATGAGATTGCTACTCTCTGTCTCTCTACCTCTTTGTCTATGTCCTTCTCGATTTTCACCACTGAAACTTTTCCCTTTTCTTTCTTTTGGCGCGGGGGAGTGTGAAACTAACGTTTGCACCATTTGGCGTTCAGCTCCATTTTTGTACCACTCGTCAAGTGCTGCAGGTCCCACAGCGCTGGAGGTTCACTGTAAACATTCATAGCTCTGACACGACAGCGCGTCCTCATCCATCACTTGCCAGGCTTCTGAGGAGTTCCTTGACCCTCGCAGCCAGAAGCTGGGCGGCATTGGCAGGCTCTCTTGAGTTCGCAAAGAATAATCGGCTCAGTTCTATTCCGCGTCTCATTATTTGATCCAGATATGCATTCATTGTGTACAGCAGTACACATCATCGACCGAGAGAAAGGATGCAGGATGCAGTTTTTCTTTCAACTCAGGATGCTAATGTCAATTGCGGGAGCCTTGGGGGTGCCTGGAGGTTTTGGATGTGGCATTCTTCGGGTTCCCCAAAATTAAGATCGGGGTTCCCTTTGCACAGCTAGTTTCGGATGGTTTAAGGGGGTGCCATATCAATTGCTTTCCTCTTCGATCAGTATCCTTCCAATCTGATAGCGCTGGCTGATCCCGTCAGAATTGAACAGCGACGTGTTTGTAGACCCCGCGAGCAAGGGATTTCATTCAAACGAGTTGAATTGATACATCCACAAACTAGTCACAGAGTACTATGATTCTGAATTTAAACAAGCTTCCAAGAATATTACATAACGTGCAGAGAGATGAGCTCCTTGGTCAGAGACAAAAAAGAAAGACACGTATGAATTTCTTGTGTTTAATCCATAGAACTCCGGCGTTGTTCAAGTACGCACATATGGAAGCTGGGCGCAAGACAGCAGCCTGTCCAAATCCCCTTGTTGCACCGTTGTCAAGATACTTAGACAAGCTTGACTGCCATTGTGTTTCCAGTCTGTATGGTTGGTTATTGGCAAGGGTGCAGAGTGGATATTATTGCATTTTGATTGTTGTTTGAGATTCTCAACCCGCGGCCGATGCATTGCGCACCACTGGAAACAGGAGCGCTCTCTTTGACAGTTCTCTTTCGGCTCACATGTCAACACAATCACAGCCATAATTCTTTCTTTTGCACCTCAATTGCATTCCAGACAGCGGAGCTTTTTTTTTGACTCGACACAAAAGCCATAAGACCATGGAGGCCTCTCAAAATTCTCCCAAACTCCAAGGCCTTGCTTCTTCCTTCAAAATCGACACTCCCCTTCTGCATCTAAAACCCTGCCAGACAGTCACGTCGCCCAAATACGAGGCCGAGAGCCTGGTCAAGGACATTCTGCCGGGCTCGTTGGTCTCTGCGAAAGTTCAGGACCTGTCCGTCGTGGCGTCCAGCGGTCGATGTTGGCGACGGTTTTGCATCAGATCCAAACGTCCAAACGACCGAGGTGACGAAGCAACCCAGCTATGACCGTCTCAACATAGGGCAGTCGGACAGACCTCATAGAGAACTGCGTCCGTTGGTGTCAGTGACTGCACATTAAGATAAACCATGTGAAAGACCGCACTATCTTCTCAAGTAAGGCTTGCGTTCGAAGCATTGGTATTCCTACTGAGACTTTGCAAGATTTAGTCTGTGTGTAACTCTTCCTGGTGATTTTTTGGGGACAGTTCTCCCAGTTTAGTCTGTGCACACCCAGTTGGGATTTGGGTCCCTGTTTCCACCGTGAAAAGGACGAGCTCAGCGCGCGGATTTGGCGCGAGACGCGGGCGACGCTTGAGCGAACATCCGGATGAGACGCCGAGCCGATGTTCCTCGGAAACCCCGGAACCATCAAGAAGGATTAGATGTGAGGTCTTAGCTTCATGCTACTAGCTTACTAGTAGCGCACTTGTTCCCAGTAGCTTCTTGCTACTAGGATGATGGTGCATAGCTTTTCAACCAATCTTTCAACCTTGAGGATGCCGACTCTTAACCATGAACCAAGACTGGACAGCTTGTTCTTGTTGTCGAACATGAGTTCAGATGAATGCACGAACCAGCAGGATGCCCACCTGGGTGGATTCAAAGGGTGTTTTTCTGCAGCGACTTCATGCGTTTTTTTTGCCTGAATCAGGGTGCACAAATTAAACCTGCTCATCAACTTGACGATGAGAGGTAGAGAAATTCATGCCCTTTTGACCATGCCCCCCCACGATCCTCCTTTTATTCTTCGCTTCTATCACAGAAATCCATCCACCTGCCCAAGAGGAGCATCTCCTCCGATCATCCAACTGTAACTCACTTAAGGCTCTCACTGGACTCTGTGGCGCCGCTGTCCTTCATTGCCAAAGCTTTGGCACCTCGCTTTGTAAATGCCGCGACGACGGCGAGCGTCGAGAGGATCTGAAAGGATCATTGCCGTCTCGATTGGGGTGATGCACTAGGAGCGATCGGATGTTACTAGTAGCTTCTGGCCTTACTAGGAACAAGGACGCTGCTAGTAACAAAGGGCATCGCTACTAGGAGCAAGGACGCTACTAGTAGCACTTGCAAGACTTTTGTTTGGGTAAGCATTGGCCAACTGATGAGGGAAAGCATCCGTTGGGGCAATGTTCCGGCCGCATGTGGTTGTTTTCAGGCAGCAAACCTGGTTACTGGGACGCCTGTATTTGGACTAACCTGTTCCTTCCAGCAATCAAGGTGTTGTACACCTACTTCTATGTGCCTTCAAAGCTTCTTCTGTGTTCTTCAGACACTGTGACAGTTGCTGCACATTGAACACTTACTTTAGGGCTAGGGGATGCTTAATATTTCATCTTAGCATTTATTTGATCGGATGTTTTCCAGACTTCTAATTACCCGGCCACATATCAAAGTCCCGCTATAGCTGGATTTGCTCAACCATGGCGAGCACAGTTCCTGGTTGTTCCCTCTCAAACCGTGTTCGCCCAGTGTTGGCACTCATTTCTGTCTGCGTAAGGCTCCCAAGCACAGCTTGTGGCAGATTGAGTTGGCCATCAAGGTGACAACTTCAGAAAATTATGTGATGTGGGTCAATATTCTCATTGCAGGGGAAGGACCCTGTCTTTTAAAGTACCTAAAAGGGGACTGATAAATTTTCAACATTCTCTGATGAAGTGAGTAGGGAGATCGGATGGGGGCGCTCACTACACCTGAGGGCAAAAAAACACACACACACACACACAAGTCGCAACACACATTTTCTTTCACCATGCCCTGCATGTCTTTGTGCGTGGCTAGAGCTGTGTGCCGAGATCACGAGAGTGAGTACTTGCCAGGCCGATCACTTTTTACACAGGGAATCTTAGAGACATGTAAAGGCCAAAACTGTACCAGGTGATTACCTTCAACTTGGCACAGCGTGAGAGGCGACGCCACTGGCGAGGGAGGATGGCGGCTTTGGCGGAGAACAACAATTAGGAATAATGTGTAATTCTTTATCAGATAAGAAAGAATAAAGCAGTAGTTTTCAACAGCCAACAATATTGCGGGCATTTGTGCTCGATGTGGTTCAATGCGTTTGAATCCAAGCACGTGGAGGGTCATAGAAGTTGCAGCAAAACTGGACATTTGCTCAGGCAAGTTATACCAGGCAAGAAACAAACGGAAAGCACGCGGAATGCCCAATGCAGTAGTACCCCAGCCATGCCAGTTGGAGAGCTTCAACACCCTGTGAGAACAACCGAGTAGTTTGTCCATTGATGCTCAAATCCTTTTCCACACAAGCCCCAGTCACTTTGGGATGATGTGGTGATTTGTTGTCTCTCATGAAGCTTGCGTTTTCGTTGGACGATGAGCCACTCTGTCGGAATCCGTCTAGTGACACACCTGGCACGACATTTCCACGCGAACGCAGGCAAGAGCTATCGCAAGTTGGGATGTGCCCTGGCGCGTTCCACCACGGCCCAGTACGGTTCTGTGGTTTGGGATTGTGAGGAAAAGCCGTTCAATAGTGGACAGTGGTTGCATGTTGGCGCCGCCACAGTCGCATGACTAGTGAGGCTATCAGTTGTATTCAACTGTCATGCTACTTCCCTTTGGTTGCACGTGACTTGGGTTTCCTTTTTCCTTCCAGGAAGCATTTCTGTGCAATGAGTACTCAGAACTTCCTGAAAACGACGCCCGAGTTGGTCATTTCCCCCTGGTTGATGGTGCTTCACGGTGCAAAAAGGGTGCCAAGGACGCTTTCGTGGCAAAGGATCGCCAAAGATTGCTATTTGGGGGTCGGCCACCACTTCCGGGAAGACCTCCCACGGGCGCCGTGGCGTGGGTTGGGGTGCTCCACCGCGGCGGAGCTAGGCGCCAGGACCAGTTCGACGACTTCATCCAGGTGTGGATGTGTGGACGTCGTTCGTTGCAGAGATGTGCGATGCAGATTCTAGAGTCATTCTAGAGTATGCCGGTCAAACCGAGCTCCGTGGTAGCTTGACCTCCCTGGTAATCTATTCTGTTCATTTCCGTCAACAGGGTCCCCCTGTTTTGACCCACCCAAATAAGAACACGCATGCCGCATACCTCATGGTTTACAGGTACAAGGGAAGCGCAGGATTTGGTCCAACATCAAATGCTCAACCACCATACGAAGGGCGCCTCTCTTGTTGTCGAACTCATAGCGTGCCCAGATCATCCCCGGGAGATTCTCCAATGATAACGACTAATGACTAATGACCAATGAGGTTCTTTATTTGGAGAAGGTCAATACATGGAGAACACTGAACAGAATCTGTTTGTGAACCTCCAAAATTGACTTGCAACCCCGGCATGTTCGAAAGAAATGAGTGTATACGAGGATCATGCAGAAGAGTGGACTTTCATTTCCCTCTACCTCACCGGCCGTTGTTTTTGGTCGGCCTTTGTGGTCGGCCTGTCTCCGGCGAACTTAGCTGAAAACACCGCTGAAAACACCGTTGCTGGCTGTTGCAGAACGTGAGCGGAAGATTGTTCTGCCCGTCCTGAGCTTCAACCCCCATCGAAGTCCCGCGGTTGTGAACACATGTATAACTACGGAGATATACACAATCAGATATAGACATAGATCTGTAGCTGCCAGTATAGACTCCAAAATTCACTGATGGATGAAACATGTTCCATTTGCGAGCCCTCTTCGAACAAGTAGCAACCCTTATTCGTTTGCGAGCCGCAGGACATGCAGAAAGGCATCACCTCCACCCATGCTGAGGTCAAGAGATTTGACAGCCTCTCGGTACAGCTGGGTGAAACTGAGAGAGGCTGTCGTGAAGCAGGGCGATCAGGGCTCCAGTGGTGCGGAGAAGACAAAGCTAACAGTCGGGATCCTTTCCAAGGTGCAGTTGGTTGGTTTGGCAGGACACAGATTCCAAGCCAAGCGTCCCGGAGGTCAGTAAGTCAATCTACGTAGAGGAACCAAAAAGCCCGGCCCATTTTCCGCCGCTCTTGCAAGGCTATGCGGGAGGCTCTGCCTATCAACGAATTTGTGTGATGCTGAAGAATGCCATTGACTCTCCAGAGGGTCCGTGCACAGAACAGGAGTTCCGGTTCACCAACTCTTCGCCACAGAAAAGATTATGTATTCCGCTGATCGAAAGAGGGTGATTGATTGGCTGAAAAATAGAATCAATTTTTGGCCGGATCATGTCAGAATTTGCACGTTTCTTACGAAGTAACTTTTAAGCTGTAGGAATCTCGGTATTTCTACGTGTATTTTTCTATTTGGGACGGCGCCATCAAGTGTCTAGTGCCATGGCATTGGTAGAGCGCAGTATTTGAGACAAGAGGTGATGATCACGGAAGACCTGTACTGTAGCATATATAAGGGCCGCCTGTTAGATTCAGTTTTTGGATTGTCAAGTAGGACCTTGTCCCCCTCACAGAAACCGCACCTAGCGTCACTTGTGGTTTGTCAGGAGTTGCTTTTGCGCTCCATCAGGGACTCAGTTCCTTGGCAGAAGATGGCCTTTGAGGTGTGTGGTAGCTTGCCATGAAGTTCAATTCTTAGTGACCTTTGTTTTGTGAGGCTTTATTGACTTGTGGTCCTAAGGCACCAGAACACTCGCAGAGATTGACCTTAAAAGGACCTAACAAGCAAGTTTCATTGGGAGGTACACTTGCTTTTTCTTTGGGTTGAATTTTTTGTCGGTACTCGAGGGAGGGAGGGGGGGAGGGAGGGGGAGGGAGGGAGGGACGGAAGGAAGGAAGGAGGGAGGGAGGGAAGGAAGGAAGGAAGGGTTGTAATTTGAGAGGAAGAACGGCATATACTAAACAAAGAAGGTTACAATGGATTCCCTCGGTTGTGCGCTTTCTGGGTCTGGCCCCAAGAGAACATCGTGTCTGGTAAAGCGGCGATTCCTCCGGGGCGTGCGACAGCTTCTACTTGGAAGGGGCCGTTCCAACGTAGAATGCCTTTTGTGAGACACTCAACTGTAGAATTTAGGCAACGAAGGCGCCATGGAAAGCTGGAATACCTCTTGTGAGCCACCTGAGGCTAACATCTAGATGGCGTCCGCACTCGTGGAAAAAAACCTGAGGCTAACATCTAGAGAGAAGAAAGGAGCCATGAACATGTGGCAGGTAGCATACTCTGTGAGCCGCACGAGGTAGCATACCTTGTGAGAGGTTCAACAGTCGCATACCCCACCCAAAGGTAACATTTAGAGGAGGAAGCGGCTTTTCAAACTCAAATACCATGTGTGGGCCACCCACAGGTCAAATTTAAGGGAGACAGCCGCCCGAATTTTGAACTTTAGAGTTGGAAGAGACCACTCCAATGTAGCGCACCTTTTAAGCTTTTGTGAGCCCGTTGATGGTCAAATGTAGAGAAGGAAGGGCCATTCCAACGTAGCATACCTTTTGTGACCAACCCGAGGGTTAAAATTGGAGGAGGAAGAAACTATTCACCTTGTCTGAGCCACCCAACGTTAAAATGCAGGGGTTGAAACGTCCAAGACCCTTTGGTGAGTTGCACGAGGGCAGAATTTCGGTACCTTTTGTGAGCCACCAGAGGGCAATTTTGTTCGAGACTCACAAAATGCTGCGCCTGCTACTGGAAAAAGAACAACTAACCAAACAAACATTGAATACGTTGGTATAATGATATTACATTTGGAATGCTTCAGCTTCACCACGTGTTGTAGCAAAATGAAACATGTAGACGTAGACATTAAACCAGCGCAACCCCACAACGGTGGATGCCAAGGGCCACCAGGCTTTTGCCATCTGACAAAAGACCTGGACGCTAAGATCAGCACTCTGAGGTTCACAAAGTGCTGCACCTGCCACAAAATCTGCAATTGAATTTCCGGCCATCCCAGCACCAAAAGCAAGAAACACACAGTCACACTCAAATTACTGTAAACCATCCCGGATCCCAGCCGCGAATTTACCAAGCCCCGTACTAACCATACTGTACTGTAGAGTGTGAAGTGCTCTCCTGGAAGATGGAGAACTGGAGTACTGCGCAAAGCAGAAAACAGGCTTTAGAAAGGGACCGGCACCGAGCGCCAGTTACTAGTTGTGTTTCTTTTTGTCGTTGGACCAGCCAACGATTGACAAGTGATGGCATTCTCAAGGGTGGAACATCTGGTTCTTGCCAACAAGAAGTTCAACATACTGTTGGGGAAATTCCTGCACCACCCCGCTTTGTCAAGCAGCATATTCATCTACTTGAGGTGCTGAGTTTCGTCCAGTCTTGAAGACTCTGGAAGCCGGAAGTTGGAGTAAGCAGCGGTTGAGGTGCAACATTTGACCATCGTGAAGAAGTCGGTGGACGATGCCAGCAGGTGCGACATCGGTCGCGGATCACAGAGCGGAAATGGCGAGCGTTTAGCGGCCTTGCTGAACGGCGAAGGGGAGGACTGGTGTCAATAGTTCAAGGCTCTATGGTATTGTGTTTGTGTTCAGGTGATGCAATTGATGTACTGTAATTGTAAAGTCATATACTGTACTTGATATTACCCGAGAGAAGGATATCACACCGACAATTGGTTTTTGCGAAGGAGTCTATTTTTATGGAGTGAGTCTCCTCGATGTTCGTTGTATTCGTTCCAAGCTGGTGCAATGGGAAGTCTAGGCTCTGTGCTATTATAAACGTGTAACTGTCAATAAACAGTTATCACTTATCACTATTTTTTGAACAATGCCTTTACCAACCATGATCATCCACTGTTACTGCTTCAGTGTAGTGGGTCACATGGGCCTTCATGCAACTCCTAGTGGCCCTTCGTAAGAGAATGACCATCCTCTGACATATTTTTGACCATGGCTGCCATAGATCTCTGAAATATATTGCTGCATTTTGAGCCGCTTGAGCGAGTACCGAACTCGGGGCTGGCGTGGTCGCCGTGGCCTCAAACGACCCATGATCAACACGACTACTTCAACAAGAGATGCCTTCAAGCAGTCATATTTTTCGAGACTTCTTTGGGGCCAGTGGCAGTGATTTGGATTTATATAGGTAGCTCTTTGAGAAAGCTATCTAGTGGAAGCAGTGTGTGGGATAGACATGGATGGACTGCCTACAGGCTCTTGCATGAAGCCAAGATGGCTGAAACGGATGCTTGGCCTCAAACCGACTCGGTCTCGCAAACTCGGTCTCCTCGGGGATTGGCCCTGTGACCCTGTGCGCGTGTCATGGATGGTTTGCCCCACTGGACCAAGAAACATCCAGAAACCAAAACAACCCCAAGAAGAGTATGATGTATCCACATTGACCAGTGGATGTCATGCGCATCAGTTTTCCGCCTGGATCTAGACATGAGACGGCATATCCCATATCGACATGCGGGTCAGTGCCACACCTGAAGCTGGGTGGAGCTGCACCTGTCGCTGAGGGAATGCTCCAGTGGTCCTCAGACCTTCCCAGGACGGGTCGGCGGTTCTTGCCCTGTGGCAGAACCGACGTTCGCTTCAGACGTCGTGGACGTCGTAAACGGTTTACTTTCCGAACGTTTGGATGGCAATCAATGCTTCTTACATACTCTATTTTCACCATTTTTCATCCACATCTGCTCTGGTCACCTGTATCTATTGCCATCCAAAGGTCGAATTGGTTGTTTGTGGAAGGTGCGATACGGTCATACTTGACGCCTCCCTTTGGTGGACAGACTCAAGACGCACAGGTTTGCAAAGAGGTCTTTGCATTTGATTAGAACGACTGGAAATCACTCCGAAGGATGTGTGACAGCTGGCCACATGTTTAGGACGAAGAACATCATGGACAAGTACTTCTCTGATCCTTAGTGGCAATGGTGTTTGTTGCGAGAGCCACGCCGAGCCACGCCTAGGTCTCCAAGTCGGGGATCGCAGCTGGGGGGTGATGTGGTGATGTCCACTAGTCACCAGTCGGACTCGTTGGACGTATGGAGGACCACTGGACCACCCGAAACAGGTCCTTGTCCGGAGAAGAAGACTTGAGCAGGGATCATCAGGGATCACTGTTTTTGCAGAACTCTTTTCTTCGAAGTCGTTTTTCAACCCGGTAGAAGTGCGGGCGTGAGCAGTGAAAGCGATACAAGTGCTTGAGTCTCGTGCCATCGGGTACACATCTCAGGATCCACTTGGTGTTCTTTTGCCAAGGTTGATGGCAGTTCTTCTTAGACTAAGATCTACACTAGAAGCCTGTCTCGAAGTGTTAGGTGCTACCAAGATTCTACATTAAATCGCTCGGACCAAGTGTTGAGTTCTCAGGACCTGAATGCCTTAAAAGAGAAGACTTCCTCCAAATTGAAGGATGACTTCCAGGCCTCCGACTTGACATGCTCTGCTGGGTCTGCTGGAGCCTGGAGTCTCAGTAGAGTCAGACTCTGCAATTCTGACTCAAAGCGACTCTTTCCAGGTCCCAACTTTGGCCAAGAGCCGCTTTACTTTGCATAGCCCTTGATGTCAAAACGATGAAGTCGGACGTGACACAAACTCGGATGTGTCTTTTGGGCTTGGGGAGCTGCGTCGCGATGCGTCTTGTATGTGGCTCGTTTTGGTTGAGTAAAGCTACCACATGAAAAGGCGAGGACACTTTGTTGCATTCGCTGTTACTTTTTGTATGGGGCCTTATGGGTGTGTCGCTGAAAAAGGTCCAGTTCTTTGTCATCTCCTTTTTCAGGTGGATGTTTTTGGCAAAAGCGTCAGCAGTTGAGTTGAGAGGGGACTGTGTTTGATTGTTGTTGATGATCTTTTTCGAAGGAAAACATGACAACTCACTATCGAGTTCCGGGTCCAAACGATGTTTGGTCTCAACCGCCACTGGAGATCGCTGGCCAACAGCACTGATGTTCCGATGTTCTTAGCCGCCGCTTAGCTTCCAACCTTGTGAAACCATGCGAACTCCATATCCACAGTGACAGGGTCACCCCTCAGAACATCGCGATCAATCCAAGTCAATCCTCCGAATTGGTCAAACATCCGGCCTGGCAGGTCGCCGGGCAGCGCTTCGAGCAGATCTTGAACGAAACCACGCAGCTTCACAGGATGGCAACGGACCATGTGTCTCGGATGAAGAGGCGAATGGCTGATCAAGGCACAAATTGCTGAGCGCACAAGATGGCTTGCATTGGCTTGTGGGCATAGACAAACATAGACAAAATCAAAGCACAAGCAAAGCAAGCATCATGTCCACCTTGTAAGCGCCATTTGTGCCTGTAAAGCGCCATCTTGTAGGTACTTTCAGGAGGACATGTGCGTTTGGAAAGTGTGAAGTCCTCCAGCAGGTTATCTTGAAACTTGATGAAGCCCTCCACGTGAACCTGCAATGTAGATTCGTAGATGTTTTGATAGTAAGGAGGCTCAACCTGAACCTGCATCTCTGCAACATCTAAGACGTCTCCCTGATGAAGAGGGCTTCTATTGAAGAGACTGGTTTTTCTTCGGCATTGCCCAGATTTTCTCAAGGGCGCTGTTTTTGTAAGGGCACGATCTCAGCGGGTTTGCATTTGCACTGAGATTTCCCTGAAAGGTCTTGAGATTCCCTATGTCTTGGTGGAATGTGCTAGGTGGTAATTCATGGTACTGGTAATTCTAAGGGCAGGGTGAAGCCCCTTGCCAACCTGCCAAGCCTGCAGTCCCATTGAAGATCCAAGCCCAAGCGCTTGCCTGACGTGTTTTTTTTGCCCGAGCCGGCATCATCAGGAAGTCAAGACAAGCCAGATCCAGGGAGAGCTGGAGTTGAAAGACGAGGACTGCAGAAAATCAGGAAGAGAGTTGCATGAGGAGACAGGACGGACACAGCGTTTTGTGGGCCAACGTTTCGTGCACGAGAGATTTCTCCACGTCCGAGTGGCGCGAACGTGGATTTAGGGCTCCGATCGTGCGACGAGCAGAAGCTCCCTCTCCCTTGTCTGTGCACTGACAGGTTGAGAATGGTTGACATATATATAATTACATCTAGGCAGATATGCATAATATATGTATACAGACTCCTTAATAGATAGAAAAGTAAATCCCCACTAAAGATGTATTGGAAACCGTTTCTTTCCATTTGGAGACCACTATATTCCGAGTTCAAAGACTGCTCTGCGTGGGGTCGCGCCGGATTTGGACCCAGTGCCCCAGGAGCTTCGAGAGCTGCAGGAGAAGCTCCGACGCATGAAGCAAGGCGCGACCAAAATGAGAAACAGCGTGGGATGCAGGAAAGCACGGGGTTTTGGGTGGCTGCATGGAGAAAGGTCCGTGAAAGGAAGCCAGCAAATCCCATCTTTTCATCCCATGGCCAATCCTTTGAACACTCACAAGACCATAGTTTGCTGTGGTGAGCTTGTGGATTCTGGATTCTCAGATATTCTCACACTGTTTGCCTAGTTTGCAGGGACCGATCGCAACAAGAGCGAATACCAAGCCTGTAAGCAAGACTTGGAGGCTGGGGCTGGGTGCATTGACTTGATCAAGGCTCCCTTGGTGACCCTGGAGCACCTGAGACAGACAAGAGGCATATACTTGTATTGAGGTCTTTCCAGAGGAACGATCGTTTGTGTTGAGGGCATGACTTCGAAGGTCGTAATTCACTGAATCAGTTTGATGCTTTTTTGCAACTTTTTGGTCCCGGTTGATGACCCGGGTTGGTCTCCCTCGCCGGTGCTTGCACTGGTGGACTTTGGGCCCATTGGGCGGTTCCGTCGTTGGTTGACTTGCAGTGTTGGAGAGATCTTGTTGTCTTCAGTCCCCGATTGACTTTTGTACCGGATAGAGGAACCAGTGCAAAGTTCTCTTTGCCTGGACTGAGCGGGCTTTTGTTCCGCTCCCCTTCTCTCTCCTTTCCTCTCCTTTGTTCTTGCACTCTGATGCTCCTCTGCTTTTCTCTCCTCCCTTCTTCCCTTTCCTCCTCTTCCTCCAGTCGAATTGATTCCAAGAAGCTTCTCATCTCCTTCTCTTGCCTTTCTGTTTTTTTCCTCTCAGCATACGTTGGAATTCAGTGTCACTTGGAAGTCGAGAAAGCTGAGCCCACAAAGTAATTTTTGTTGTGAAATGGAGTGAAACCCAAGCAGGTCCTACTTTAAGCAGAAGAACTTTGGCCAGTCGAAAGCCACAATTTCATCTTTAAGCTTGGTTCTTTGCCTTGTCTCCTTGTCCTCTCTTGCCTTCTCGCCTCCTTGTCTGCCTTCTTGCCTTGGCCTTGTCTTCTTGTTTCTGTCTCACCTTCTATCGGAGATTTGTCTCGTCTTCAGCTCCTTGCCTGCCTTCTTATCTTCTTAGCTCCTTGTCTTCTTGCTTTCTTGTCTCGTTACCTTTCTCCTTGTGTCCTCATCTCATCTCGGCTCTCATCGCTCCACAAGACGATCCAGGCTCGTAGACATCCCAATTGGCTTTAGGCTTTAGGCTTTCAAGGTACACGTTCAGAAGGTCTGGTGCGTCTGAGTCTTCGCAAGGCCATCGCTACTGTCCCTACCTACCGGATATCCTTCCTCCGGCTTTGTTCTGAGTCGAACGTACATTCGCAAGGGCGAAGTAGCGGTGCTCCAAGCAAAGTGTTCTTTCAACGACTCTGAGTGGCTACGTGTTTTGCAGTGGCGCTCTCTTCACTCGCAAGCTTGGGCAATCTTTGATATGGCATGATAAGGCTATGTTTGAGCAATGGTTGGCAGTGGAAAGAGTTCGAGGTTTAGAGGGGGCTTTACTTGCAGTGGTAAAGACTTGACAGTTGTTAGGGAGCGTTGACAAAGCTCATGATTTGAGAGCAGTTTCAGTCATGGGCGGCGCAGTTGACCGCACGAGCGCATATCTGCGAACACGCTGCGCATGTCATCATTCGCCAAATATGTCTTTCGGTGGAACTGGGAATTGGGCATCACAAACAAAGCGGATTAAATCAACGCCTTCAATGAGAGTAGTAACAAGAAGCTAGTAGAAACAAGTGCCACGCTAGTAGTAACAAGTGCCTTACTAGTAGTAACAAGAAGCTAGTAGTAATCAAAGTCTGGTGAAGTGATAGGGAGGTCTTTTGTCAACCTGATAGTAATAGCTTCTTGTTACTAGAAGCGATGCACTTGTTCCTAATAGCTTCTTGTTACTACTAGTAAGGCACTTGTTACTACTAGGGATGCACTTGTTCCTAGTAGCAAACATTGTCTTTTGTCAACCTTCCCATTTCATGTTTTCGACAGCGGGCGGGTGTCAGGATGAGCGTGATACAGTGGTGACGCGGGTGAAAGCTGCTGAGCGGCTCTTCGATGGGCAGACACAAGAGTGTCCTGGCAGGTCAGACGAGTGTGGTTCAGGGCCGGTCGAGGGAGGCGCTCGCTCAGACGTTTGCAAGTCGCAGACGTTCCCAACCTGTTGGTTCCCTGCTTGGCTTGTTTGGTTGGAATGAATGGGATTATCTGACGAGTGTACATAGGTAGACTCGACTTCTTTGGGGCCCAGGCGTACGTATCAAACAGACCAAGAAGACACGGTTTGCGGAAAGCAAGACAAGGAGCACAATACAAAATTGGTTCTCAAGGTAAGATCATTTGGCCAATAGGTGCTGGTTGAGAGGTGCACTTGCTGGCTGGGTTGGGAAGGACAGGTTTTTTGAGACATAGGTGTTGGCAACATGTCACGTGGCATGTGAAAAAACCGAGAGGGTATGCTGAATATGAACATCATGAAGCTCTGGTGTTCTTGTGCTTCTCGACTGTCATGTTCAGCACCTCGACTATCCTCATCCTGTACAGACATGCCGGGATTCCAACGACCTTGGCTGAGGATCGAAAGTCTCCACCAAGACTTGCGCAATCTTCTATTGGAAGAGGCCGTGCTTGAACGGCTTGGCTTGCGCGTTTTTGGATGCGCCGGCCTTATCCCTTCAGGTGGCCAAGCAAATGGAGGAGGAGGCCTTGAGAAAGTTCGAGAAGGCCGGGGTTCTCAGTTCTCACCGGTGAAATTCCGGGCACGTACATTACTTATTGACTAAGTTATTACAGGAAAAATTGCGTGAAGACAAATGTTGTGAAGCCTTTGTTCTGCTTCAACCAGTCCAAACCAGACAAAGTTGTTCTACAACTGATAGTCTGACGATTTCTTCTCTTAAACAAAGGTGCTTTGTCACTTTCCTTCAACATGTCGTGCATGTGGATGTCTGCGGAATATCGCCTGTGCCAAGGACGTTTGACATCCCCACCCCTTGTGATGGTCTTCGAAGGTCCAGACGAAGTCGCCACAGAGTGACGTGTAAAGGGGAAACATACCTCATTAAAATCTAAAGGGACACACCAGGGTTTTGCCAACTGATTTTATGGGTAGGAATCCTGAGTCCACAACACCAAAAGGGATTGGGTTTGAAAGCCTTCCTTCAGCCACATCATTGCCACGTAAAGGGCCTTGGCGATGTTTCAGCTCCCAAGGTCAAAGCAGATCGAGAAGAAGCCCAGGCAGGGATGTGCACGATGTCCATCTCATGGTTTGGGGTCGACCAATGGAGTGGTGTGGGAAAGATGTTCGATCGGAGTAGGTGGAGTGGAGCGTTTCGATCGGAGTAAGCGGAAACCGTGTGAACTGGCCGATTTACTTGGCTGAGTGGACGGCAGTAGACAACAGTGGCATGCAGTGGTGGACTAGCTTTGAACCTCCAGGGAGTCCTGCCCAGTCAGCTGCCCAGTCAGTGGCCTCACCCGTCAACCACAGCCATGAACGAGAGTTCCATTGAGAAATCACCTGTTCAAGTGCCAAAATGGCAGTTCTTTTGGCATGCCCTGTTTGGAACTGGTTTTCATTTCTTGAGAAGCGGCCTGCCAGGTCACCTACCAAAATGCTCAAGATCGGCTCAGGCTACGTCCAGAGACTTAAAGACTCTTCATCCAGCATCAAAGCAGTGTCTAGTTTCAGAAGTGTTCACATCGCAGGGGCACATCTTGCTAGGTTTGCTGAGCAAAAGTGGTCTACCCGTGATGTCTGCAGTATTTTTTAGTGTTCCAATCCATTCACAGGATCTGACCATCTCCAGTTCGTAAATGAAGGCTTCCCAACTATAGAGAGAAGAGTGAAGCTGCTCCTAGAATGTATCGAGAATCGTTCCTCTGTGTTGAAACCGGAGAACGCTTTGCTTTCCTCGCTCTGTCAGAGGCTCACTGAAGACTTGTTGGATGCCATGAATGCCGCAACCCTCAGCGGGAACATCATGGACGAGCTCTTACGACGCTGACTGCAAGAGATGAGTTCTTTGGCTCAGCCAGGATGGCTGTCCTTCTTCACTTCTACTGGTTCTACTGGTACTTCGGGAAACCGCAAAGAAGTTCTAGACACAATTTGATGCACCCTCATGAAGGATCTTCATACCTGTGGCATGTTGCGAGCCTTCCTCTGCACCAGTTCAACCCACGGTGGGCATGGCCGTCACCGGGTTCGGTCCAAATGGTCACCCCAACAGGTCACATGGCTGGCACCCTAATAGGCAAAGCATGGCTGTCACCGTGTTGGATGAATTGCACGGCTTTGCCGAAAGCCCAACTTGGGCTCCAGAGCCAAATGTTCACGTTTTTGGGATGACATGTCATTGAGATTCATTGAGCACTCCCAGATTTCGCCCAGGAAAGAGGGACGAGATCAATCGACTTCGGAATGCAGCCGACAAGGCGGAGGAGCCAAAAAGGGCGAAAGCGATACGCTCACGTCCGTTTCATGCCACGTCGAATCATTGGACTGTTGGTGGCCGACACGTAAATGAAAGAGTTTGAGACGATGTGGGTGTCACTAAATGCTGCATGGTTCTATAGTGCCTCATGCATCTTTTTTTGGCACCTATTTTTATTGTGAAGTGCTTATACGCCAGGTCTTCATTATTCCCAGCCTAACACCAGGCGTTCAATCCAGGACTCTTTAAACTTTACACGACCAAAGCTGGAAAAGCTGTGTGCCGACGAACGTGTAGACGACCCCTTTCATTCTACGCGTGGAGACGCCTGGAACCACGTGCCGATGAACGCCGATCCTTTTTTTTGAGGAGTTTATGGCCGATCAACGCCAGAAGCTTGTGGAGCTTCAGCAATGGCTTCGTGACTTTGGGCAACCAGAGGCCGCCTGCTGGAGTTGGACAACAAAGCAACGTGTACCAAAATTATTCAAAACAAATGACCTGACCGGCAAACGAGGCTGCTGGATATGCGGCGCAGCGAGAACTTTCGATGCCTTCTGTGGTTCAGCCTTCCTTGTCTATTTAGTCTAGTTCACTGTTTCCTCCCTATTGTCGTTTCCTCCCTTTCATGGCATCAAGCCCTCCGAAGTTACCAGCGGAGCCACCGATTCATGGGTATGAGGAGAGTGGGTAAACGAAAATACTTGCGACATGTTGGTGCAAGAAACAACCCTCTTTGGTAAATTCCTTTGATGATATGAAGCATCCAGCTGAAGAATCTAAACCATCTTCTCAGTATCGACCTGCATCGATCTGGACCATTTTCACCGTTGGTGACACCTCCAAGACTTGCAGGTGGCCGAGGCCGCAGACACCTTCATTACGGATGCCACAGAGATGCCGAAGGCGGCACTGAACATAAAACGGAGGAAGGGAAGAGAAGGGAGGAGAAGGGAGGAGGGGAAGAGGCGGAGTCTTATAGCAATGGCCTCCAACCTCTTTATTGACCTCCAACCGAATAGCGAATCCTGGGGTTTGTGAACATGGTAACAAGAAGCTACTAGGGGCTCCTGGCCGCCCCCCCTAGGAGCAAGGAAGGATGCTACTAGGGGCTCCTGGCCGTACTACTAGGAGCAAGGACGCTACTAGGGGCTCCTGGCCGTACTACTAGGAGCAAGGAAGGATGCTACTAGGGGCTCCTGGCCGTACTACTAGGAGCAAGGACGCTACTAGGGGCTCCTGGCCGTACTACTAGGAGCAAGGATTCCACTTTGGATCAATGACGTGGTCTTTTTTGCGGAGATCGGCTTTGGATGTCGCAAGTCTGGCCACTAAAAGATTGGAGAAATGGAACAGAGGGTTAGGAAGGGGTCGACCAATTGATTACCTCAAAAAAGCTGACGCTTTCTTGCCTCTGGGAGATGCGCATGAGAGCACACATGTATATAAGAGCACATGAGAGGACGCATGAGAGCACACACATGCAAGACCCACAGAAGAGAACGCACATGAGAGCACATGTATGAGAGTGCAAATGTAAGAACACACACACTACGTAGAGGATACATATTTCTCACATGTGTGCTGTCATGCTTTTTGTGTGCTCTCTGTATGCGCTCCTTCCCCATCTTCTCAATTCGCTCCACATCATTTGAGGCTTCGCTCCCCATCCCACAGAACAACATGTGATCGCTTTCGGGGACGAGAACAACATGTTGGCCCGGGGTGGTTGATGTCGGGTTTCTGACCGGTGTCAGATCAACAAACACCGGTGTCAGGGTGCCTCGGATAAGTGCACTCAACTCTTTGAGGTACTCAATCTTTCTTCAAATTTGCAAGTGTGCGCACTCTAATTCGCTCAAGGCCCCAAATTAAGTCAACAAGTCAATCCAGATAGGGGCTTTAAGTCGGGTTGAACCCTGACTGAGTATACTTCCAAGCTATTTGAGGCTGAATATTTCAGTGCAGCAAGAGGTCTGTCGCATAGCCATGGCATGGGTGAGCAAAACCTTTCATGTTCCTATGGACAAGAGAGCCACTCAATCAAAGTTTTTGAGAATGCCTTTGGGGCTTGCTTAAAAGCATCAAGGTCTGATTTCGACCATTTTGATTTGGTGGTGTTTGTTTGTTTTTGTTGTCTTGTTGCCCGCCCTGATTATTGACGACGATTCACAACTGCCTTGGCATTTGTAACATGTTATATTTCTTCTTCAAATGTATCGGCTGAAGAACTTGTAGCTGCAGCAGGTGGCACTAAGCACACCCATGCAGCTGGTCTTCATCCTCGAGAGGTCTGGAATTTGCTGGATGGAAATCCAATTACCAGGGGATGTTTACCTAGTTGTTGTAACAACTATATGCAGCCTTCTGGTGTTTGGACCCAGACGTAAAGTGAAGATGTCAAAGCAAGCAGTATGATGAAACCTGGTGATCTATGTACTGGCTCGCTGATGCATTTAATTGACCTTGTTTCGCCACAACCGTTAACTGTGCAGAGGGCCATCAACAAGAAATTTGATCACTGCAAGTCTGCACCGATAGTTCTTGTCTTTTTGCTCCCCTGTGCACTTGGCCAAAGGCATTCACAGTACCTATATATATATATATATATATGAGCGAGCACGCTACTAGTAGCTCCTGGCCTTACTACTAGGAGCAAGGACGCTACTAGGGGCTCCTGGCCGCCTTACTACTAGGAGCAAGGACGCTACTAGGGGCTCCTGGCCTTAATATATCCCTTGAAGTTGTGGAGGGTTGTTGCTAGGCTCGTACCACGATGGTGTCGTCGAGTGCAACGGCGAGAAGCACTGAGGAAGGAGGCCCCGACTGACAGAAGTGGTGAAGAACGCTGTTCCTAGTAGCGATGCCCTTTGTTACTAGTAGCGTCCTTGCTCCTAGTAGTAAGGCCAGGAGCCCCTAGTAGCGTCCTTGCTCCTAGCTAACACTAACATTGTCAAAACCGAGTTTTTTGCTGAATTATTGGTGTACAAAAATATGGCATATGTTGTTCTAGTGTACGTGTAGCCCATTACCAGTAACAGTCAGCAAAAGATTATCACAGTTTTAGAGACAGGTCTTTAATAATCATCATCCACTGTTACTGGCAATGGGATTTACCCAATCCTATTGTACCTCCCAAATCTTTGGGTTATAGTTATAGTGCTTTTTCCAACTATAAGGGTTCAGTCTGCAACATTTGCTGACAAGTGCTCTTCTGTACGTATTGCATTGTTGGATTTGTAAATATGTATAATGCGTCCTTTGCTTCATAAGACCTACACTAATTGGCATCTATCTATTGTTCTGTGCTCTTACCCATGTTGCCTGATGCCCAGCCTCCAAAGTCTTTGCGTTTCGAGTTCATTTAGGCAGCCTCGCAACAACAAGGCTGCCGATAAACATACTGTAATTTTAGAAACATGTATCGTTGCCCCATGCCGCTCTGCGTAGTTGCTCGCGCTCTTTGTAGGCTCCTGTTCAAAAATTTCCTTGAAAGTGGCACCATGCTGCATGCTAGACAACTTGAGTCTCAAGTCGTCTAGCATGGAAGACTTGAGTTGCTATGGTTCGTGCTTGGGCAGGTGACTTCTTTCTGGTGCCCGAGCGATGCCTATGAGCAGCAGCTCCGCGAGCGGAGTGAGCGCTGGAAGCTCCTTCTTTCACGTGTTCCGGATGCTTGGAAGTCCGTTGGACTTGTTGCAAGAGCCTTCTTTTCAGTGAGGCAACATGCTCACTTTGCCCGGGGATTTTCGTATACTTTCGATTTCATCAACCGGGATTTCACATCCTTGGATATCCTTGGCTACAAGCGGAAGGTCTACTGACTTGAATTTAGGTGATTTAGAGATCCTTTGGACCCAAAACCCAATCCTTTGATGCCGCTCATTGGAGGATGAGCACTGTTCTGAATGGTTCGACCAAATAGAATCATTGTTTGTGTAAACCAGGTCATGTTGAAGCCAGGTAAGCCCAGACGTAACAGTTGAGACCACTTGAAGACTTGACCAAACGACGTCCCCTGGCTTCTGTGAGCTCCAAGACCCTCAACGATGATGCACTCATCAAGCACTTTATAGATGACACATTTTATGATGCACTCGTCGAATGATGCTCCAGGTTTAGGATGGTTTAGGTGGATGAAACGGTGCCAGATGTATTGAGAACTCTCCAGACTTTGTTCCCCAAAGCGCGGTTTTAGCGCCACCACCGCCCGAAGCCTTCGCCAACACATAGTGGGTAGCATATACCAAGCACACAAATCGCAGTGACTCATGGAGACAAGCGAGGCTTACACGCATTTTTTCCACTTTTGGAGACAGGCAACCGTGCTGACATCGACAATATTATATATGGTACATTGTGGTGTAAAGTGGCTGGAACACTACATTTCAATAGGTCCCACATGCAAGCATCGATCGTGGACCACACTTGTTCCAGGGACTGTATCATGTCCTGCTCCGCAACACCCAGAGCTAACAGGAATGGAATGAACTGGGGAATTGTGGAACATGGAAGTTTGAACATTCGACAGTTGACACGATCTCAGGAGACGCAGCAGGAGGGAGAGGCGCTGTGATACCTGTACCGTCACTGATTGTTCTTTCTTTGTGTAGGATACGCCTGTGATAGAGATCGCTTTCCTGTTTCTGGTCTTGCGACGTTTTTCAATGGTGTCAGAACATTGTGCTTGGCCGACGTGTGAAGAGATAATTGTGCATGCATGGATTGCTAGTATATGCTTGGAACCTAATTCATGGCTCCCAGCGCAGCGGGAAGTGCAAAGCGTGAGGCGGCCTATGGTAGCGGTTGGCGCTGGCGGCTTCTGCAGAGTTCTTCAGCCCCGGAGCTGATGCCTTTAGACACCTCAGGCCCCGGATATTTGTGCTGTTTGGCTTCAAGAAAGACCTCTGGCAGCTTCCAGCACCCAAATGGGTTCTGTTTTTAACGGACTAAGTAACCTGAAAGAGTCCCCGCGCAGTAAAGCTTAGCTTTCGGGCACGAAAATATTTGGAATCATTTGGAAGACATTTTTGATGAGTTCTTTGGAACATCAAAGCCTTGCGCACTTCTTTATTCCATGAAGCCGCAGCAACGTCAACATATCAGAAAGGTTTTGTATGCTTTGCAGTATGCTTTACATGACCATGCCAACTTCTGACTGTTGAAGCAGCAAGGTGGCCAGGCCAGCTTTATTTGGATCAAAACGGAAAGAGCTTTTCCGCCGGAGTTGTGGACACTTCCAGGTAGAGCCCACAAGAGTATACACAGAGCACAGAGAGCCCAGAAGCTGGTATTTAGACTTTTTGAACTCCCTCCAAGCCCACCCCAGGCCCCATGCCATATGTATTTTAGATCTACCATATAGCAAGGAAGGTGGTTCATGATAGGGGAGCTCTGCAAATGCCTGTCTTCCCAATAAGAGACGTGAAGAAATGCTCCAAATCTGTTTGTTCACCCGTACCGCGCACCAGTTCTAGTCACTCCTCTGGCCTCCAGGGGCTTCGCCTGTCCGCAGCCCCTCCTTGAGAAGAAACTTAAAGAAGGAAGGCGGAGGCGAGTGCCGGCCACAGCTTGGTTCGGGATGTGTTCGCTCTTTGTGGTTTTGTGGGCATGTCTTCTAGCATCACTGGACTTCGTTGGAGAGGGAGTGGTTTCCGACGTTTCCGAGGACAAAGAGCAAGCCAGAGCAACTTGTTCATTGAGTGGGGACTAGTGTTTTGAGCTTGACGCATTGACAGGTGTGGAGTCTAAGGTAGTTGATCAGTTGACTCCTGAGTGAATCAGCCTTCAAGTTTCGCTGCCAAATACAGTACCCTTGCATCGGACTTTGGTCGGGCGAACAGGACCAAACAGAATGACACTAGCAGACTGAATGACCCTTCGATCACATGTTCACGAGTCAAACCAATTGAACGTATTACGGCGACATGTTGATCACCTGCGCCTGGGCGTGATGGCACTGGACAGATCCAGGGATCCAGGGATCAATGGACACAAGATTGGCACATGAGAATTGCCAATTGGTACAATAGAAGGAAGACCTTAATCTTTTTTTCCCCTTCATTAGTGGTACCTGTGGTACCTGCAGCTTCTAGGGGCCACAGGATCTCCCAAGAGAGTGGCAACCTCTAGACATGGCCGAGTGGGTGTTTTGCCCACCATGGCCGGGGGTGTCGAAGGCTTCAGAACGCCAGTTGAATCTGTTTCCTAACAAAAGGTATGTTGATATCACCTTGTTTCTTGAAACATCTCATGTGCGACTGTATGCGAATGTCAATTCTATCAGCAACACCAGCGGACACCTAAAAACCCGAAGAAGAGGGATGGTATTTGTCAGGATCTATGGGCGCACCAAAGCACAGTGAACGCAATCCTCACAACCACAAAGAAGCAACAAACTTACAAGTTCCCCCCCCCCAGTGGAGAAAAAAGGGGTCAAGACCTGGTGATTTCACTGTGATTCTTGGAACCTGAATCCAACTGTTCTTCTTGGAGCCAAGGTCGAAGTGGCGCCTCTCCTCCTCGCGACGCACGGAGGAAGTCCGCTGTGAAAGGTGTGAGAGATGGGAGAGGGTTGGAAGAAATGGGAGAACTTCAGGGCTGATGAGCTACAAGTCTATCAATCTTCCCATTGGTTTAGCCATCATCGTACTACTACTTTTTAATCATCGTACCACTTTGTGCTCAATTCGCAGGGATCTTTGGAGTGCCTTGGGTTCTCTAGCTTTCAGTCTCTGAAAAGGATGGATATCTCACTGTGGCATCTGTGATTTTGAGAGATAGGGAGTCCGGGCGGCGAGTCGCCAAGGTTCTCAGAAGATTTGACCATTTCCTAGAGAGGATTCCTGGATGGAACTCATCAGAAACCAGACAAACTCTGCAAAACTAAGCCATTGAACGTTTGTCAAAGAAGCCAAGCGTGACACTGCAAGCCATAGGGCCATGGCCCCATGCTTTCCCAAGAGATCGACGTCTCAGAGGTTTTTCAAGCGATGGCCTCCACCCTAATGGCGTTTTTGAAACTAGTAGCGATGCTCTTTGTTACTAGCAGCGTCCTTGTTCCTAGTAGTAAGGCCAGGAGCCCCTAGTAGCGTCCTTGCTCCTAGTAGC